AAAAAAAAAAAAAAAAAGAAAGGTTCTGTTATCCTAAACCATTAACAACACTGCTCTTATTCTGTTTCAACTTTGTCAACTTATGGGCTCTTTGCTTTATTCTACCTTTCTTTGATGGTGAAAGATCCCATTTAGTTAGTAACTATGTATGACATCCCAGGTAGTGAACCACGTACCTGGCATGCATCATTTCATGTTAACCTCATAAGAAACTTATGAAGTACTTTTTTATTCCCCTTACTAAGGTTTAAAGAGCTATGAAGCCAATATCCAATCCAGGCAAGGTAATTCCAGCCACTTCACACTTATTACAAGTGTTATACCCAAGACACACTAGTGTTAAGTTTAATGACCATCTGTTGCTGTTCCTTATTTTGTGAAATAGAGTTTCACAAAAATAATCCTTTGTCTATTTTTCTATGAGGGAGGAATTTGCTTTCTTTTTTTAAAGTATTTTGTAAGATCTCTTAACATAATAAATATATTAACCCTTTGTCACATAAGTAATAGAATTTGTCACAATTGTGTATTCTAACTTTGAATGTGGGAGGGTTTTGGCATACCAAAGTTTGCAAATTTGATATGACCAAATCAATCTTTTCTTTTGTGATGTGACTTTGGCATCATGCCAAGAAAGACCTTCCATATCCAAGATTATCAATACTTTTGTGGTTTCTCTAAAAAAAGTTAAATCTTTAATTAATCTTTTTTTTCCAAAATGGTTCTCCATTAGGCTATATTATGATTTACTTAAAACCAATGAAAATGAAATGACACTTCTGCCACAACTAAATACAGATACTTGTGGTGGTATTTGAAATTTTTCTATTCTTTCAATGATCCAATTAACTATTCTGGCATAAGTATGATGTTATTTAATGCTTATCATCTAAGTTGCCTTTTCCCGCCTATTCTGGCATATTTATTCTCTATGACTTCATTTTAATTAGAAACTACAACAAAAAAATCTTTAGATATAGACTGGATAGCATTAAACCTATAGACTGGCAGAGAACATTACTGATCTTTCTTCTTCCTTATCTAAGAATACAGCATTAGGTTCTATACTCATGGCCTTCCTAAGATTATTCCAAGGTGTATTACAGCTTCTGCCATTCTGAAGGATTTCTCCTTCACTATAGTTTCTGGAGCATGCATTTGTTACACTCTTTGCATGCATGAAAGCTCCTAATGGTTTTGGAAAACCTCAAGTTAAACAGGTTTTTTTAACAGTGGGGCTGTTCAGAGACCCTAAACTACTAAAATTCTCCACAGGGGTTAATACATTGATATGTCTGACTTCCAAACTTATTGACCAATGGGACCCTTCTGAGAAAATGTTTTGAACACATCTCATGGAACAAGTATGTCAAAGACTGCATCTAATAATAAGATGAGTTATGAAATTTAAGTAATTTCTTCTATACATTAGCTCATTTGACAAGATACTGTTTTAAGCCTACAATTCTGTTTTAGTCACTGTCTTATACTTTGCTACATAGAAGGTTCTAAAATATAGTTCTTTCCAGGTGCTAGCCAACACTCTTGATGATGTACAACTACTATTATTGCAATAAATATTACTTCAAATTCTTTTCTTCCAAGTTTCTTTTCTTTTCCAGACTATTGCTATTCTACTGAGCTTATTTTTCCCAATGCATTTGTCATTTTATTATGTTAAAATTTCTATGGGAGCTTTTAGTAACATCTAGCAATGTAGTATGTGTCCTATTAGTACAAGTCCTTTGCATCTAAAACAGTCTGCTAGTCCTCTATAATTTTTATACAGAAATCTAGAAATGTCAATCTTTGGTAAAGTCAGATCATGAATAATCTTATTTTCAACATTTTTCTTTTTTTTTTTATTAAATGATAGTTGTGTACATTAATGCAAACATGGGGTACAGTGTAGTATTTTCATATACAATTTGAAATATTTTCATCAAACTGGGTAACATAGACTTTGTGTATTTTCAACATTTTTCATTGTTGTCTGTACCTGCTAAGTATAAATCTAACACAATTAACAGGCATTCAACTTTTGTTTTCTTTGTTAATGAAAGAAATACAAGGCCCGAACTTAACATCACAATGAAAGAAACTACTCTGATGAGACAGCTGGCTTTGTTAGTCTCCTGAGAATCAGGAAATGAAATGCAACAAGGTACCTGTATATCTGCCAGATGAAAACAACCTTTCAAAAACTCAGCCTCATGGTGCTACTCATACAGCATTGTATGCACGTATTAGATTAATAGCAAGAATTGGTTAACTGGTCCCTGTAGAACAGGGCTTCACTTGGGGTCACAAGCCCCATATGGAGACAGAAAAGGAAGAGGCGGCAGGTAGAGGGAGAATCAAATTGTCAAAGGAAGCATCCCACAAAAAAATATAAATAAATAAACAGGAATAAATAGGGTAGAAAAAAAAACTCTATGTTATGACATGAATATTATAGGTACCTTAATGACAAATCCTACTACACTTATTTTATAAATAAATAAATTCAGCAAGGGAAGGAATGAGCTATCTAAGGTCCAAATCAAATATTCTTACATACTGACTTTGGAATTAGGACCTTTCAATTCAGATTAATAAATGTAATCTAATGAACCAAAGCAAACCATTACAATGATCTCAATATCCACTCAGGAAATAAAATCAATTTGTTTATATCTTCTGATGATACTGATTATGGAACTTTCAGCAGATGGCTAAATGTAATTACCAACTACTTACAAGAGCTCCCTCCTTGGTTAAGCATGTATCACAAGCCATGAATGTGGAGGAGCTGAGAATGTGGCAGTGAACAAAACAGACCAAGCTCCTGCCCTCAAGAAGGTTTGGAGATGATAAACAAATTAACAGGTAAGATAAAGCTGGAAGTGATAAGAGCTGTAAAGAAAATAGATCAGGGTAAGAGGATAGAGTGACCTCTCACAGGGGAGATGCCATTTGAATGGGCTCCTAGAGAAAGTGCAGGGGTCATGGAGGTACCAGGGGAAGAATATTCCAGATGGGGCTTCCAAGTGCAGAGGCCTGGAGGAGGAGTCATCTCCCAGCCATAGCTCTGAAGTCACAGTCACAACCAATGCAAAGAAGTGAGTAAGTACCTGGTTTCTGGATCAAGAGAATCCATGAGTTTTTTATCAGCTAGTAATTTTTGCAAACTTTGATATAATTCCACATTTGTGTTCAACCTAGAAAAATTATAAATGAAAAAAATTAAATGATTTTCTAATACCTTATTTTTAATTTTACAATCCCCCCAAACGGTGTGAAATTATAGCATATATATTCCCAAAGGCCAAAAATTAAAGTAGTTTTTTGATTCTTCATTTGGACCAGGCATAGCATAATCATTCTCAGAAACTGAACTATTCAGACAGGGAGAGGCAGCGTGTTTACCAAAGTGTCCAGATATCAACTGTTTTGGAAGGTGAATAGATAAATTTAAATTTGCAGACACCAGTGGGGGCAGGAAGAGCATACAGGAAAGAGGGGAGAGGGGGGATGTGGTCACTGATGATCTAACTCAGAACCAGTTGCCATCAGCAATATGCCAGTGGCCATTTGTATTTTTTGAATAAAAGAAAAGGAGTGAAGATGCTAGAAAGGGTGAGCAAACATAAGGATTTTCCAGTCCTAGACTGAATACCCCAGCACAGGGGCTGCCTATGCTAATGTAGGTGAGTGGCAGGTCCACACCATCAGGGAGGGCTCAGGACACAGGCTTTAGAACCACACACCTGGGATGCAAGACTGGACCACTACTACCCCCAGAATCCTGGGCAAGTGATTCAGACTTTAGGTTGCCCTGAGGATTAAATGAGTCACAATAACTGGTCGGCAGTGGTGCCGGCCTGGCCTTAGCCAAAGGTGGAGAGCACAGGGACCACAGCTGAGCACTGCTGGCCCCAGCCAGACCCAGGGTACCCTAGCAGGCACCTAGTCCTTCCTTCCAAGACACCAAAAGGCCCTGGAACTCAGAGCCAGTGAGCTGAGTTTAGATACAATCTGTTCTCTGACTGGTAGACCCTCAGGGAGGGATAAGGTGATAAGAACTATTCACCAGTGCCTCTCACTCAGGAACTCAAGAATGGGCCAGTTTCCTAGTCAGTTCACAATTAAATACCTAATGTTTTACATAAATCAAAAAGTTTCCGTTGCCATCATTCTCAGGGGCCTTCTAGAACACCAAGGAACTGAGGCAGTCACCGAGAAGGGTCAGACTCCCAGGCATAGAGTCCAAAATCCAGAGAGAAAGTCAGCGTGGGTGCCCGCGTCCTCCTGGCCTGCTCAACCACAAGCCTCTCCATGGCAGAGCAGCCGCAGCTTCAGAAGTGCAAGCAGATCTCCCACCATGTTTTATGCTGGAAGACTCTGACATGCAGCCTATACTTAAGTTTACATTTGGCATTCATTCTCAACAACTGCTCCTAACTTTAGGCTTTTCCCCCACTACTAATGGAAAATAAAACAATTCTACATATGTATCTAAAATCATCCTGACTTTTCAAACATCAACTGAACAAGTTAGTTAAGATCTGAATCTACTAGACTAAAGGAAAAAATGAGTCACAGTGCTTAGAGAAAAGGGCAAAACTCTCGGAAAGGTTGTACATCCTGGTTTAGGGTCTTACTATCAACAGAAATGCTCTCCCATAGTGAAGAGATGATCCTAGACAGACACCTCTGACACCACATCACTACCAATCACAGTGCCCAACACCACATCACTACCAACCAATCACAGT